TAATATATAAAAAAAATTAGCCCAGAGTTGGACTTTAAAGTGAACCATTGCATTCCCTAAGCGGAACCATTACAATTCACTTTAGCTGTTTCATATGCACTCCTACTTTCTGCTACATGCATAGGCTGAGCAGGATAAGTAGAACATTTACTGATATACACATTAGTTTTAGTCAAAAGTCATTTAGTAAGTTCTTATCTTCATCTCTACCCCCCCTTCCCTCCACCACCCATCCATCCCATTCCCCTTCCTGGCATACGCTGAGAGCAGTTACACATGTCTGTAACAGGAAGGGCAGAGAGGTGTCTTTGATGTGTTGGTGATGATTAACAGCTTAAGTTCACCTAACTATTCATGCAATGCAAAAGGCAAGATGGCGGCTACCAATGGGGGAATAACTAGGTCTCTGTAATTGGACTGGAGCAAACCTTTAGTCCACTGATTTTGTAAATAATCTAAAGAGTTTTGTTTTTTTGTAAACTAGGTCAAAGGAACTTTGTAGCTTCTGACTACAGAAAGAGTTCTTTACTGTCAGAGCTCTGAAACTATGGAACAGTCTTCCAACTAATCTGCTTCTGTCTGAATCTAGAGATTGCTTTCTGTGACAACTGTAAAGCCCATGACACACTGCGTGCAGAGCTGCAAGCAGCAAAGCAAAGCTGCGAGGCGAGGACGTTCGCATGCAGTGTGCGAGAGCTTGAGTAGCTGAGCGCAGCCAGGTGAAAGACTTTATCTTCAACCAATTGGCTCACACGTAACAACTCAATGGACTTTGCATCCTGACGCGCGAGTTTATACGCGCGCCGCCGGTTCCCTTTGCTCCATGCTGCTTTGCGTGCAGTGTGTCGCGGGCTTAAAATATTGCACTTTGCTATGCTTTCACAGTGGTCACCAAAGCAAATAGTGACTGGTGACTCTCCACAGGTGAGATACAGACAGTAACATGCACCCAACAGGGGTTCTAACACTTTACCACACCATCCAACACTAAAATACAAAGTTCAAGTATAACATTGTAGATATACAGCGGTACCTCGGTTCACAAACTTAATTCGTTTCGCGATTCTGGTCGCGAACCGATTTGGACGTGAACCGAATCAAACTGTAATCAGACCGTGATCTCAACTAGAGGAAGCCATGACCATGTCTCAGAGCAGGGAAAATGGCTGTGGTTGTATTCGTCACCCGAAGCAGAGTTCGTGAACGGAAGCAAAATTTTGCCAAACTTCCTGTTCGCGAACAGAAGCGTTCATGAACCGAGGTACCACTGTATTCCACTTAAAAGTAACCTATGCTTATATATTTATTTTTATTTTATATAATTTTTTTTTAAATGTATCTTCATTTAAAAAAAAGGATTACATTTTATGCTACGTAGTATGTACTAGAAATTATTTTGCGTCAACTAAGTAGGTGGGACCTAACAAAAAAACAACAAACACATTTGTTAGGCTCTAATCAAGTCCTTTAAAGCTTAATCATCCTCTATAGAAATAAACACGTGTGTTTCAACCACCCAAGAAAACAATATAAAACTTTATGTTTTAATCTGAAAGTCTTCTAAAGTGTTTTTATGCAAATGTATTGAAAACAGCTATAACTGAATACATTTGAAGAAAACAAAGTGTGTTATTCTGAAGTTAAATTTATACTGCCATTATAAAAGCATTTTCTGGGCAAAATTGTTATAGCTGGTTTAGTATTGTAATAGCAGCGAGTTACGGAAAACTCCCAAATCATTGCGTTGGAGGGTTATTTTGAGAAATAAGGTTAATCATGAACTTGAGTTTTTCGTTAAAGGAAACCTGTACCGGGTGACATGGCTGAAAAAAGTTCCTCTGGTTTAGTGTTTGGAGCCACTTTTCTGTTCGGGGGTAAGTTCCTGGCAATTATTGGAAATGAGGAAGCTGCTTGGAGGAATGCGGAAACATCTTCAACATTGCAGAACAAGTCCAGTTGAATTTGGCTAACTACAGCGCCTAACCTCTCCCAACTCTAATCTAAAACATAAAAAATGGCTATAGAAATTCTCTAAATTAAAGTGAATTAATTAAAGTTCAATTGAACTCTCATGGGAAAAGGCGCCACTGTAACTCACAATACTTGGTGATTGGCATAGCCAGGAACTCTCCGGATCTTGCCTGGAAGCTACGGCTAATCAATTTGCCTACTGGGTCTCCAGGCTGCTCATGCCTCGTAGAAGTGGAAAAGTCCGATGTGACCTGCCTCTAGATGGTGCGACCCCATCAATGCTTTATCCTGCGGAACCTGCTTGCCCCCTACTACTTCCCCCATGAAGAACCTGCTTGCCTCAAATACCTCTCCCATGCAGAACCTGCTCGCCCCCTACTACCTCTCACATACATAACCTGCTTGCCCCCTACTACCTCTCCCATGCAGAACCTGCTTTGCCCCCTACTACCTCGCCCATGCAGAACCTGCTTGCCCCCTACTACCTCTCCCAAGCAGGACCTGCTCGCCTCCTACTACCTCCCCCATGCAGAACGTGCTCGCCCCCTACTACCTCTCCCAAGCAGGACCTGCTCGCCTCCTACTACCTCCCCCATGCAGAACGTGCTCGCCCCCTACTACCTCTCCCATGCAGAACCTGCTCGCCCCCTACTACCTCTCCCATGCAGAACCTGCTCTCCCCCTACTACCTCTCCCATGCAGAACCTGCTTGCCCCCTACTACCTCCTCCATGCAGAACCTGCTCACCTCCTTTGTTCTTTATATTGCTAGGCAACAGTCGGCCATTCCTCTCACACGAGGTGAACTGAAGCATTGATTTATCTGTTTTGCAACTAGCACCAGCAGTTTCATTAGTTCAGTCTCTGGGGATGTCCTCCTACAGGCTTAGAGTAGAAATTAACCCATGTTTACCTCTAAATGAGCCAAGGAATTCCCCACCACCCTCTATCATTGCGAATGTAAATATGTTTATTCAGTAAGGTGAAGAGTAACAAGCAAAGTCCAGGAACCTGGAGTGACCAATCAGAATTCACCTTTCACTGTGACAGGTGATAGAAGGAGGAGTCTGATTGGGCGCTATAATGTATTGAGCATTGCTGCTCTTAAAATTACGTTTAAGGACAGATTTATGTTTGCTTTGGATAGAGTGTGGAAGATGACGCTTCCTGTATCCTCTCAAGGCTTCCTTTTTTTATTGATTTTATTATTTTATCTAGAATGGACAGTTGACCTTAAATTACACACAGATATCACCGAAACATGTTAATTACATTTTTGTCTCAGCGCTAATGATCGAGGACAAATAGAAAGTGTGAGCCTCCCAAATGGAGTTACAGACAATAAAAACCTAACAGGGGTTCTCTCCATTTGCCACTCTATCCCTTTTGGCTTTAGTTACAAGTTAAAGTGACATTAAAGGAGAACTATGAGGTGAGTGCTTTTCACTCACCTCATAGTTCTAGCCGACCTGTGACAATGAGACTGTCACAGGTCGGCTCAGTAGATCGGGAGGTGAGCGAACACATACCGGACTGGCGGAACGGACGGGGAGGGGGCCGGTACAGCTGGCTCTGCCTCTAGATAGGCAGAGCCAGCTGTCACTCACGCAGCTGGGCAGATCCAGACATAATTGTCGGGATCCGCTTCAGCTGCTGCGTCTCAGTATACCGCGAGCTGTACCTCGCGGTATACTGAGCTTAGGGTGACGGGAGGACGCTAGTTTGTGTCCTCCCGTTAGCCTAAGGAGAACTATGGGGAAAAGCCCTAACCCCATAGTTCTCCTTTAAAGGATATTTTTTTCCCTCCCCCCAATGTTAGTGTAGGGACTTACATTAAATCATGCCTCTTAATCCGATCATCTTCTTCCTTACTGTAGTTTTTAGATGTAGTTTGTCTCCGATCCAGCACTTACTACTCTGTCCTCCTTTTTTCTGATGTGCCACAGAGTCTGTGTGAGTGCACGCTGCTCCATAGACTTACATTGTGTCTCTCCTCGACTCCCGGCCGAACATCTGAAGTGCGCATACGCCCGCCCCAAGATCCTTTGTGGCCGCCCGAGACTCTTCAGATGTTTGGACAGGAGCGAGCAGCGAAGACACCGGTAAGTTTAAACCTGCTTCAAAAGGTTTTGTTTAAAAAAAAAAGTTTTTGCATATATCTACTGCTTGCTAGCAGTAGCTATATCCAAAAAACGCTGAGGGTTTAATAACCCTTTAATACACGGCAAAGGATTTCCAGAGCACTATGTGCTAGCTGACGTGGCACCAGCGCAGCTTGCTTTGAGACTCCCTTTGTCTAAATGAAACCTCATACTGAGCCAAAGGATGAGCCACTGCTGTGATGACTCATTGAGTTAGCACAGCTACCCGGGCGCATAATATAGCTACACACTATCCAAAAATAAGGAATAACCCCTTTGATTTTAGATAGACATTGAAGTGATGAACAATGGGCTTCTTTCAGCATACCCTCCTAGTAAGTAAAAAAAACAAAAAAAAAAACAACCTTTTGGCTTTAGTTACACTTTAATACATGACAAAGGATTCCTGTAACACTATGGGTTTGCTAACGTGACAGCAGAGCAGCTTGGTTTGAGGTTCACTTTGTCTAACTGGAACCTAACACTGAGCCAAAGGATGGTATGACTGCTGTGATGTCTCATTGAGTTGGCCCATCTGCACCAGGCGCATATTGGAATGATTAGTATGATTATACACACTATCCTTAAAACAGGAACAACCCCTTTGATTTTGCTTATTACATAGTTACATAGTTAGTCAGGTTGAAAAAAGACACCATCGAGTCCAACCTATAGAGATACAAAGAAAAAAAGAGGAAGAGAAGAAAAGCCTAAACAGAACACTATGCCCACAATTACCCAATGTTGATCCAGAGGAAGGCAAAAAAAAAAAACCCCTATAAAGCACGGTTCAATTTGCTCCAACAGGGGAAAAATTTCCTTTCTGATCCCATAAGGCAATCTGATATTACCTGGATCAACAATTATTTTCCCTGGATCAACAATTACAGGTATTTATATAGCGCTGAAAATGTATGCAGCGCTGTACACAGTGCACAATCACATCAGTCCCTGCCCCCAAGGAGCATACAATCTAAGGTCCCTGTGACGGACCGCCAGGTACCCAGACTGGGTCCCTCCTTCAGAAATCAGCTTCCTCTCCACTGGAACCAGAATTCCAGTGTCCTCAGCCCAAACCTGCCTAATTATTGGACGGAACCAATATATCAGGACAAAAAGCTAAACCCCTCAAACATCGGACAACACCAATGTTGAAGTGTAAACCAAGAACTAGTTTATTGAAGAAAGCACATAGAGTTTATATCTCAGAGAATCAGATACGAGTCTAGTGTGTTACATTAAACAATCCCCTCCCCTAGACAGCCGGGTGCCGCATTAGAATTCCTTAAGCACAGACACTCTTTGAATCTAACGAATGTCCTTAATTAGATAAGAGCTTGATTCCATAATCCCAAACAATGGCCCCTCCAGACAGCATGCTGTCTTCACAAATATGTTTAGCAGAGATGATATCCAAACAAGATGGAAGTCCGGATGGTTCAAATCAAGTCAAATGGTGAAAAGTTCTCTCTCTAGATAAAATATTAAACAGGAAAACACACACAGCAAACAAAGTTCTCTGGGGCAATAAATCTCTGCAGCCCTAGGTCCGTAGTCAGTAGGAAGGAGGCTAGCCCCCAGGCTCCTCCAACAGCCCCAGTGACGATTCAGTCCGTCACAGTCCCTATCTCACATGCATACATAGGAGGGCCAATTTAGTAAACATTAAAGTGATGAACAATGGGCTTCTTTCAGCACAGATGTGAGCGATACAATGCTACATATGTAAACAGAAGACTACAGCTCCACCTAGTGTCTGGATTAAAGACTACCTGAAATATGTTGCTACATTTCTCATCTACCTAAAAAAGCGACAAGAAAACGATTTTTAAAACTGCATTTTTTTTTTTTTAGTTCCGACCATAGTAAATACGTAGGAAAGCACTATGCATTCCTCTTCTAAAATCCTATTATCTCCTCGCCGGGTGCTGTATATGGAACAGGTTAAGTGCGACGATATGGTGACTCTTAGCTCTTTGTCTATCTTGCAACTTTTTAAAAGATCTCTTCGTAAAAGCGTGTGAAGCGTATAATGCGGTTAGCGGGGTTTTTCTCCAGCCTTAAGAGTAACATTACAGCGGCTCTGGCCGGCCGACGTATAAACAATGCTATTAACCTATTTCTCTCTCCTGAAAGGGCTTCGTTACCAGTACTTATCCTCTTGATGTACAGTAATGTGCCCGAGCGAGGAGGAGGAGAGACAGGCAGCTGCTGTGCAACAGAGACATCTGCTGTTTACTCAGCAGCAGCAAATGTGACGGAGCCTTGGGGGAATCTGTTTTGGTTTTTTTTGGCCCGGTTTAATTAACCTATTTCTGGGTGCGGAGCCGGTTCTCCAATTCTTGAAAAAAATAAATGTCTTAAGGGGCCCATAGATAATCAGCACAGGTCGTCGCCAGGCTCCGTCTGCATGTCTATGGTGCTGGTGATGTGATGCCATCACTGGACAGGAAGTGGCTGATCCTGGAGGAGAATAGCAGCTTTGACATGCAAACGATGAAAGGAATTTATGAAAAATTTGGCAATTTGTTATGCTTCGGAAAAATTAAAATACAATTAAGGCCCATTTCACCCATGTGCCCTCTGTTTCCAGACTGATCCCCTGCAGGGCCGGATTTCCCACAAGGCCACCAAGGCCTGGCCTCGGGGCAGCAGGCAGTAGATGGGCAGCAGGGGTGTGGATGCCTGTTGCCCAACACCCAGGACATTCAGTTCCGGGCGCTGGGTGGGTAATTTTTTTCTATATGTAGCCCTGCTTCGGGTAGGGTTGCCACCTGTCCAGGATTAACCCAGACAGTCCGGGTTTTGAATGCTTTCCATGGCAGCAGAAACCCGGACACAAGATGTCAGGCAGAAAGGGGCAACCAAAATTGAGATAGGAGCTACTGGCCCCCCACTGAAAATAGTCTCAACTGTGATATTTACATATGAATTGGTGACGCCAATTTACATATGAATACATATGAATACGAATATATGAATACAAAAATGTCCACGTGTCGCTAAAGTGTTCGGGTTTCGCTTGATGAAAAGGTGGCAACCTTAGCTTCGGGGAAGCAGAGCTAAATGTCGAGCAGGGAAGCCGCTGCTCGTTTTGTACAAGTGATCTCGCCGATGTCGCCGAGATCACTTGTATGCAGCCTGCAGGTCAAAAAGTAAAAAATAATAAGATAAATATTTTAAAAAGTAAAGAAATAAATAGAAACGTAAACATTTCCAGGTAAAAGCCCAGAAAAATCTAGTACCCTAAATGTTTACTTGCAGCGTTTTTCATTTGCATAAATTATTTTTATTGATGTGCCAGTGCACTTGTGACCAACCAAGGAGAGTCAATTCCTTAGCACAGCCCCCCGTGTAGTTCATAGCCCTCTCCTCTTCTGGGTGGTCTATTTACTGTCTGTGCTGGCCCAACTCCTCTTCCTCTCCCCTCACCTCCCAACATAACCTTTTATGTAGCTACTGGGGGAGGTACACTGCCATCCCTACCCTGAGGCTGTTGCCTCTAGGCGACATCTTTTAGGGTCACATGGGGGGACTGGGACGGCAAGCAGAGCGGCTCTCTGCTGCACAATGTTTGTAGTGTGCCTGCCACCCCCTTTCTGGCCAAGGCCATTCCAGGTTGCTAACAGCCAGGCAGGGAGATGTGTAAGGGCAATACACATCTCCCCGCCCAGCTTTTAGCAACCTGGAATGCTCTCCTAGGGCTGGAAACCAGTGACATCACTGGTTGCCAGGAGCTGGATGGGATGCCACCCAGAGAACAGCGGTGTCACTCGTGGGCGGCGGCAGCACTCTCCACCAGCACCTCGCCCACTCTGAGCATGTGCACCACCAGCAATCCCACCCCCCTGGACTCAAAAAGGATAGGAACGCCCCTGGGGAGGTGAGAAGGGGAATACTATAGAGAAGAGGTAGGCATGGTAGGATTTGTAGTTTCACCACAGTGGGAGTGTTAAAGGAGAACTATGGGGTTAGGGCTTTTCCCCATAGTTCTCCTTAGGGTAACGGGAGGACACAAACTAGCATCTAGAACTATGAGGATGAGTGAAAATCACTCACCTCATAGTTCTCCTTTAAGGTTGCTTGCTGCTGCTATAGATTGCCAGTTAGGTGACAGCTGTGAGTTTGCTGGGGCTGCTGACATCACATCCAAGATGGTGGTGACCAGAAACAGTCTTAGGACTGTTATGCACATAACATGCATAAAAAAAACAAATGTACATATACTCTAATGGGAATATTGTGGTTGAAATGAATGGTCTGGTGACTCTTTAAGGTTAATACAGATCTTTATTCTGTAGTTTTTCTGCCGGGTCACATAGTAAACTTTTTTTCAAACAACACAAATCACTGCTTTTTTTTTTTTCTTATTTGCTGGTCTAATTAATTGGCATCACGTTGGCATGGAAGAAACAGCACAGTGGGTGATCTGTTTTGAGCTTCTGAAAATCACTTCCTGACATCGGCTGAACTTGACCTTAGAATAATGACAGAGCTGAAGATGAAGTGACAAACAGCGGGCATTACTGCACGCCATCCAAGTACCGCACGCGGCCACCTCTTAAAGTGCCCGCTTTCATCAGACGGAGAAGGCAAATCAGGATGGGCTATTATTCCAGAGCAACATCGGGCTTCCAAGGTCACGCTGATCAACCTTTCTATGCCTAAAAACAAAAAATGAAATACTCTAATCACTCTTCACTCGGGTTTTTAAAAAAGTCGTAACCCCGAATCGACTGACATTTATTTTGATAAATTACTTTGTATCACAAACAATTGTTATCTTTTAAGGAAAATACCGTTTCACCTTTATTTTATCTTTTGTTGTTCAGTTCTGCTAATCTCCTGCAGCCTCTCTGAAGCCACTTCTTGTCTACATGCCGTCCATGGCAATTCTCAAGTTGGTTTACTGATTGTGACAACAGTATGTAATGCCCTGGTGCCCAACCTGTGACCCGAGGGCCGCAGGCAGACCTTAGGTACTTATAGTGTGGCCTTTGGGTCTCAGCAGCCAGTAGTAGAAGCACTTGCTTTAATGGCAACACAAGGCTGACAACGCTCTGTCTCCATCTCTCGCTTGCACTCCTGTGTTGTCACCCTGTCACATGGGCTTCCAATAGGGTTGCCACCTGTCCAGGATTCGCCCAGACAGTCCGGGTTTTGAATGCTGCGTCCGGGTTTCATGGCAGCAGGAACCCGTACACAAGATATCAGGCAGACAGGGGCAACTAAAATTAAGATATGGGCTACTGACCCCCCACTGAAAATAGTCTCAACTGTGATACTTACATATAAATGGGTGGTGCTATTTACATATGAATAAGCCATGACTCCTACGAAAAAAATGTCCATGCGTCGCTAGAGTGTTCGGGTTTCTCTTGAAGAAAAGGTGGCAACCCTAGCTTCCAATGGAGACTACAAGACTGTTTTAAAACACATTACACCGGTGGTGGTCAACTCACGAGATATAAGGGGCCACAACTGCAGCCCCTGACATCCCCAGGGATGGTGTACATAATATTTAGTATATTTAATGCTACCGAGAAGTGTCAGAGCCTGCTGATAAGCTGCTTGAGATGGCCAGAGGCTAACTCCTGAGATATTAAGGGCCACAACTGCGGCCCCTGACATCCCCGAGGGCGCATATGATATTCAGCAACTGAGAGATGGAGACAGAGCGTTGTCACCCTGTAACAGGAAGTGCCTGAACAAGGACCTTTATGGCAGGACCACCTGGAATTATTTTTTTTTCATGAAAGCTACAGAGACACACACTACTTACTAGCACACACAAGGGTAGCTCCATAGGACCCTGCAAGGGAAAGGAGCCACCCTAAAACAGGATATCAGGGCCAGTGCTCAGGTGACCAGCTGATGAAGCAGGAAACTAAAACTTTTAAATATTAAGGAGCGGTGTCTGTTGTAAGTGATTTAATCAGCATTTGAAATAGCTTACAAACCTTTTGACTTTAATATCACTTTAGAGGGAAAAAAAGATACAAAAAACAGGTAAAAATGCATGCTCAATGAATAAAACAAAAACAAAACATACACCCAACCACCCACCATGGTTTCCCTTTAAATCGATCAACACAGTCTGTCATCTTCTACATACTAATGTAGCAGAATTATTCTAAGAGATGTCAAATCCTCCACATTCCGCAGAGTATCAGAACATTCTAATACAATTCTATTACTTCTCTGGCTGCATGACATCTGATGTGAGAATCAGACACTATTTGTGGGTGAGTGAGCAGCGTGGAGAAATTATAAGACCTGTCACGGGAACATCGCTATCATGTCAAGGATGAGCGGTGAAAATGTCAGCGCCGAGCTTGGAACCGCACATGGGTACCCGGGAAGAGGAAAAAAGAAATAAATAAATATATAAATATACAAATAGGTTGTTAGATGGATACACACTACTTACAAAACCGTAGCTTTGCATACAAACGACGCATTAGGCCGGCAGACATATGAATTCCGGCTTAAATGTATTTGGGAGGGGAAAAAAAAAAGCTAAAAATGATTTTATTTATTTTTATTTTTTTACAACTTTGCTACAGTTTTAATATCCAAAGGCGATAAAAAAAAGGGAACGCATTAAACAGGCCGCATAAAAAGTCGTAAAGGGATTCACGAACGGATTTAAAGGGCCGTGCCATTGAAAATTGATATTTTACTGACCGCCATGTTTAGTGGCGTGTTGGGGGCTATTATTCTGGACATTTTGACCCTTCTGCAAGCATCATTGTAACTGAGGATTAACCTGAAGGGGGCTTTAGCCTTTATGGGGTGGAATAAACAAGCTTTTGGTCATGTGTCATATAGCCACAATAAAGGATTCTGTAGCAATCGCCAACACTCCTGCAACAACGTGTAGGGTTCCGCTGTTAACCAAACACCATTTTACCATATACATGGGGACTATTTTATCTTCCAAAAAAAGGGGTCACCCCTGTCATGTTCCTGCTGCTGTGTGTGCCTCCTCTGGAGAGATTTTCCTTAACTTGCTGTCCTAGAGACTAACAGGAACGAGAGGAAATCTCCCCAGAGAGAACAAAAAACGACCTTTGACAGCCGCCATTGGAACAAGCATTCCCGTTGGAAGATTTGTAGCAATGTAGTAATCGCCAACATCCCTGTAACAAAATGTAGGGTCCCGCTGTTAAACAAACACCACTTCATCATATACATGGGGACTATTTTTTCTTCCAAAAAAAGGGGTCACCCCTGTCATGTTCTTGCTGCTATGTGTGCCCCCACTGGAGTGATTTTCCTTAACTTTCTGTCCTAGAGACTAACAGGAACGAGGAGGAAATCTCCCCAAAAAGAACAAAAAACTACCTTTGACAGCTGCCATTGGAATAGGTATACCCGTTGGTGGAGGAAGGGAAGTGCTGTAGACGGGAGTGCAAATTGGTCATGGAGCAGGTTTTGAAACAGACCCTTTCACTTTGCCCTGAGCAAGGTGACAATGTCTCTAAATGTAAAAGTTTAAACTTTTTGAAAGGCTTACATCGGCCTTTGTCAGACTTTTTAATATAGGTTGGATTGTTAAGTTGACAATAAGAGGTGAAGCTTTAGGAATAGGCCCCATAGCACCAAAGACAGGGATTCTCTGCATGTAAATGTTATAAAGTTCTTGCTGTTCTCATTGAATTACCTCTAGATTTGCCTCTGATCGGCATGGCCGTGATGCCTCTCAGCGCATTGCAACGGCTGCCAATCTAACGCTGACTTATAGATCTTGTAATGCAGCTTATTGATATGCTTGACGAGAAGGGATAATGGTCAGAGATGGAACAAATCAGAGAGCAGTACAAAATACAGGCAAATGGCTCATTGACGCCTCATTGATCCGCACGGTTCAGCTACAGGGATTGTGCAGTAAACAATAAGAGCCGGGCTTTTTCAGTCTGTGGGTCAAAACCAGGAGAATGGCTGCGCATTTCAATTTCGGGAGACTCATTTGAACGTTGCTTAAAGAGAACCTATCATTAAACATTAAAGAATCAAAGCCTCGGTGCTTCCGTATGAGTGTTAAGCTAAAGCACTGTAATTCTCAGGTTAAACAAGACGTGCAGCCAGCCTGACAGGCCTGAGACTGAAGATGGCCAGGGAAACATTTGAGATGTTCTTGCATTAAAAACTGCAGCCCATGGACCCCTGCAGTTTTGGTTTTCCAACTTTTCAGCTGTTTCTGGTCCTGAAGGCTCACCCTGGTGCAGTCTGGTAGGCTTAGTCACCTGTTGGCTTCCCATAACTCTTGGGTATTCCATTGGTAAGATCTCCCTGTAGAGGGAGTTTTGGGTGTTCATCTGTTGCCTTCTCTGTAATATAAGGAAAGGTGAATAGGACCTAGAAACCCTAGCAATGATCTCACTAGGGGTCTCCAGTTTAAGCTGCTGCCCTCAAGTCAGCTGCCTGACCTTACACATACGGTAATTTCCGAGCATAACAGCATTAGATGACAGAGCCCCATAATCAAAGTGGCCCTGACATGAGAAAGTGGCCCTGACATGAGAAAAGTGGCTCTGACATGAGAAAAGTGGCCCTGACATGAGAAAAGTATGGGGGCTGTCATTGCTTACTTCTTAGAAAATGCTAGTTGCCCGGCCATCATGCTGCTAAAAATTTTCTTATTGCTCTCTATGTCCCTTTCTGTTCCAGAATGACTATATCCCTGGGCCCAAAGCCAGCTCCAAAAAGACATGGTTTGATGAGTTTGGTGTGGAGGAACTTGATTGGCCTTCACAGAGCCCTGACCTCAACCCTTTGGAATAAATTGGAATGCCAATTGTACGCTAGGTCTTCTTATCCAATATCAGTACCTAGATAGAAAGAAGTCACCAGCACTCAGTTAAAGTTCACATTTGTTAAGTAAGGCTGACATTTTGGGGCAGGGTCCCTATCTCAAGGCAACATAGAAAACCTTACTATGGTGCCTTGAGCAAGGGATGCTGTGAGGCCCTGAAATGTCAGCTTTATTTGACAGATGTGAATTTCATTGGAGTGCTATTTACTTTCTGTCCTTCCGTCTTAGGGACAGAAAACAGAAGAGCACCAAACCATAATGGATGTTAAAGTCCCTAGAAATGTTTAATAATTGTGTTGATCAAACAGCCAATGTGTTTTCAGGAGCAAGCACAGCCCCCCACCTTAGAAATGACGAAAATAAGTCAATAGAATCAGAATTTAGATT